AACCTTGGTGAAGCCCTCGCCATTAATGTAGAAGCGAATCGCACCATCATCAAAAATGGCTTCTGCCACCTTGCACATCTGCACAGAACACAGAACTAACGGGTAACAGAATGACTCAACTTCTGACTCACTTCAATTCCACACGCAAGTCATGCAACATGAACACAAAACTTTGAACTCCTTCCAAGCCTGCAACGCCCTTCCACCGCACTCAGTCGTGACATTCCCATGCAAGTACACACGCATGGGGTCAGTGGCAGCATCCCCATTGCCAGCGAAGATCTCTGATGCCGATTTTGCACCAAGCATCAGCTGTGACTTCAAGTCCACCTGAAGAATTTCCAACAGCTTCTTGCTGGAATGCTGCCTGAACCAATGCGATCACAATCTTGCAGTGGCATGTTGAAGTCGGCCAAGCCCCACATGAGAAACAAGTGTTGCAGCACTGTTGCAGCCAAGCAGCGTTGCATATGACAACAAGTTGTTCTGGATCTGCGAGCCAATGCATAGCACATCCAATGCATTCAGCGTCTTGAACCCAGGGACCTCATGCATACCATAAATAGATGCAATTGTGGGTGTCTTGGTGAACAGCTCGACAGCAGCAGGATCAGCTTCTTTCTGCCCTGCTTGCGCAACCTCCTCTTGCTTCACACCTGCTGCGTCACCTGCAGCCCCGTTTTTCGAACCCATCCCGGCCACACCATCCATGAGCGTTTTCTGAAAGATCTTCACTGGCAGCGGAAGGAACTGCTTCCAGGAATCCAAGGAATCAGGAGGCTGCGGAATTTCCTTCTGCGGGTCTGGCCCCTTCAGCCTCATGCGCTTGGACGGTTTCGGATTCTCCCCACTCTCAGCTGCATCTGCCTCAGTCGATTCAGACTTCTTGGCCTTTCTGAATGCCAACGCCTGTGCCTTCAGTGCATCCGAGAACACCTTCGACCATGCAGAGCACCAGCTATTTGTGGGACTGCCAGACGAATCCACATCATGAGAATCATGAGAAAGATGGTACCTGCTCTCCATCTCAATGACGTAGTACTTCCCGTTCTTGGAACACAAGTAGTCCAGAAGACCAGCAAAGCAAGCCACGTTCTCTACATCACTCACACAAATGAACTCACCTGCTTGACTAGGCATTTCGATCATCTGCCTCAATCCTCGCAGAAGATAAACCGCTCTGCACACAATCATGCCCTCAATCATTTGTTCATTCAGCTGGCCACCTGTTGTGTCTACATCCTGCAGCAAGAATTGGCCGTACTTGCCAACAATGTCAGAAGGTGTTGATGGCTTCTCCTTCTCTGCTGCTCCATGCTCAACAGCAGTTTTAGCAGATGTTGCCAGCACGGCAAGGGCAGCAGTTCCTACACGGCCGACTGATGTCGGCACACACTCACCGCCGTCACCAACTTCTCGCAAACATGTCGAAAAGCCCCAGAACAAATCCTGGATCGTGTGCTGAATATCTTCCCCATGGAAATTACACTCCTCATCCGCATCCTCATCATCACATGTGCACGTGACAGTCTTGGCTGTGGACATGAATCGAAGGAATGCCGGGTGAGATTCCACCGCACCTGGGTTCTGCCTCAGAAAGAGTTGCGCCTGCTCCAGCGTGGACTTTGATTGAAAAATCGTTTGAATTACTCCTTCCATGGTCGTGCATTTGCTGGCGTGCTGCGAATTGTATGCCTCAAGCTTCTCTCGGGCACTCTGCTCGTCCACTACCATAGCCAGCAGCTGGCCAACATAGTCCTCAGCAGAGCGCCCATCCGGCAGATGTCCCTGAGATTTGCGCAAAGCTTCGCGCAGCATGCTTTGCAAGTACGGCCGCACCTGTCAGCAAGGACTATAATGCCAACACAAACACTGGACCAACACTCATGACTCATGCACGCAAGAGCTTGTCTACTTGTCCAACTGAACAAATGATTCAACAACACATCAGGCCTTGCTCCAATCCTTGAAGGTTTTCTTGCCAACACTGAGCTTGCCGACCAGAGCAAATTCCAAACCGTACGACACAAGCATGCCGAAAAGCTTGCCCTCTGCCGAATCCCAATCTGCCTTTAGCTCTTTGCCTCTGTTGGCAACGACAAGAGCCTGCAACAGATCGTCGATCCAACGGCGTGGCCGCAGACCCTCTTGCGCGCCTCCTCTGAAAGAGACCTCGAACTTCACATCGTCTTGCAAAGCTGCTGCATTCTCTTGCTGTGCGTCAGGCAGCTGCCCTGTCTTGCGCTTTGAACTGGAAGACTTTGCCTTGGCTTTGCCCTTAGCCTTCGCCTTTGCCGCTTTTTTGTAATCTGCATTATCATCTTCAAGATTTGGCGCCTTCACCTTTGGCTGCTGCTTCTTAGTCTCGCCCGCAGATCGCAAAATCTTGGAAACAAAGTTGGCTCCGGCGATTGGCGTGCAAAGTTTCTGCTGCGCTTCGATCGTGTGGGAAGAATCTGCCCCCGCCTTCAAGATGTAGGGGTATGTCCGGGCGCAGTCCGCCATGTCCTGGGGTGGAAGCAATGGAACCTAAGCGGCAGGCGCTGTCCGCACACAACTTGCTGCAGACACAACTGCTGTGCATCATCTGCATCATCACACACACAGACACACNNACACACGCAAGACCTATCCCAAGACCTAACACTCTGAGCATGCGGCGGCAAATTTGCAGAGCTCCATCAAAACCAGCGCTATGTGGCAAGTGGGTTGGCCGGGGAAGTGGCTGTCCAGCATAGTGGCAAACGAGTTCATCAGTGGAAGGACTCGCTCATGCTTCAGCTCAGGAGACAGGAAGTCAGTTTCTTCTCCGAAAAACGTTTCCCATGTAGACAGAACGTTCAGACTCGCTAGTTTGTTGCGCAATGCCTTCGCAAACTTGAACGTGTGCCCCGTGTAGCGTTCCTTACTGTTTGGATGCGGCAGAGTGCTATCTGAATTTGTTGGTTCTGTAGGAGGTGTGGACGGGGGCCGTCCACAGGTATCCGGTGCGAACCTGCGCCGTCCGCAGGTTCACCAAATGGGGCTGGGCGATAGAATGTGTGGGGAGTCTCAAAGGTAAACAACCAAACAACATGACAATGCACTCTGTCCACTTGCTAGACAAGGCTCCTTGAATTCAGACGTCTCAATGAAGTCTACAAGTTGGTCCCGCCCAGCTGTTCGAGCAGACATGCCGTGACGCTCCATATAGCTTCGCCACGCCTGACAAGATGCATGGAGTTGCAGCACACACACACACCTAAGCTGAAGCCAGACAAGCTTGAACAAGCCAGAACTTGATTCCTATTGGCCTCATCCAGCTCCACTACACCAACCAGTCGTTCGTGAAACGTGATCCCGGAGCCCGCGTGAAATCTGTTGTTAATGTCCTTGAGAAACCTAAGCATGGCCACGCACGCAAACAACATGAACCAAAACCAACGTGAACAGCATGTGCAAGTGAAGTCTGCGGCAGGACATCGAATGCGCATACCAAGACACTGCAGTACGTCCACTGGAGTTCTCTTGCTGAAGATGCGACAGTTCCTCAATCCTGCTTGCCGTGTGGCCATGACCTGGGCATTTTGCCCATCAGACGCTGCCACTTCGTAGAATGCCTCAGACCTTAGTTTGAATGATGTCTGCAAGGCTTACGCTTTGCTATTCAGCAAAGGCGCAGGGTGCCAAAGGTTATAGCCAAGTAGGGAGATCCAGAAGCAGCTGGCCTGAGATTGATTACGGCGCAAACACTCAACAACAGTGCAACTGCTACTGCGCACTGCAAGCTGTAGTGCAGCTGAAAGTCTCCACCAACCACGGCTGGGATCTACACCCTTCCATTATGCCATGCTTGCGTATGGCTTTTGCGTAGGTTTTCTTCACGCTTGTCTGCTTCCGGCAATTGACGGGGTGGCGAAGAATGTTCCTTTCGGAAGTACCTCCCTGGTACCACTCCACTGTCACACCATCCTTCACCTGAAATGAGATGCGAACGCACTTGCTTGACTCACTACACTGCACACTACACAAGCAACCAACCAGAGTCATGAGTGAAAATGAAAGCATGATGATTGAAGCCTGGGAACTTGGTAGAGGCCAAACAATTTCTCTTGAAGTTCGCGCCCCTCAAGATTGCCGAATCTCTCTTTGAGGCTCTGTTCCCCCCAAAGGGCGTTCTCAGCATCCTGCGCTGCTGGTGCAGCTTGTGCTGCCGGTGCAGCTTTCGCTGCCATGACTGCAAGAGAATAGGTCAGAGAAGCTCTCCACCGCGCTAGTGCGCTCAAGGCTCGAGCCCACGACTTCCAGTCCCACACAAGTCCAGCAATCCAACGCATCCGGCGCAGTCAAGAACCAAACAAGAGTGCAGTGCAGTGCAAGCGCCAACTGTTTGCAGCCAGGCAACAATCGCTGACTATAAAATGATAATCCAGCCCCAACAGCAATCATACCTCAGCTGACTCCAGCAATGATTAGCAGGTCTGTCTGTCAAGCTCTGCAATGGGACTACATGACTACATGCAAACATGGTCTGCCAACTCCCATACTTTTTGGTTCGGTGATCTTCCTGGCGCGCATCCTTGCGAATGCTCCATGAGATTCATCGACTCATCTGAAACTTTGCCCCGTTCGCATGTTCGCTGCAAAGCCCGCACTCACAGGTTCCTAAATAACTTGAAGCTCAGCTGCTGCAGTGCGCCCTGTGGCTCTACAGACCGTGGCACTTGTGTCAGTGCATACAATAAAACAATTCCGCACACGTGGCAATGCATCGCATTTCCTGCTTGTCCTACTGCCGCTGTTCGGGCAGGTAGCTCGCGGTCTTGCACCGCAAAACTACACAATGACATGTCGTTAAAGAAACGAGGCCACACTGGAAAGGCCTGTGCTGCCAAGCACTCAGATGCTGCCATCCAACGATTGTGAAAGTTGGACCTGAGTCAAAACAAACTCATTTTTCATGTCTGAAGTCTTGCCTGACCACCCTAAGAAACCCAAGTGTTACAATGCGGCCAAGCGACCAGCTGATCCCTCCATTTCGGATCAGAGTCGCCAAATGATCCCAAGCACTTCGAGTGTCCACAAACAGCGGGTTCTGGTTCAATTGGAAGACTTGGCAAGATTCTGTGCAGTTGCTGCTGTTGCCAACGTAGTCCTCAAGGGCTAGCAAGTGAGCAAGCCAAGTGCCAAGAGTCAACAGTCAACATGAACATGAATCAATGCGCTCAACTGGCTCAACTGCAAAATGCGCAGAATGTCCTGCAAATGCTGCTGCTCCATGCTATTCAACGCAGAATAGAAGGCATTGGGCTTGTCCAGCAACATGACCGGCGTGCCTTTGGAAATATCTTCAGCCTCAGCCTCTTCACAATCATCATTCTCACGTTCATCTTTCAACACGTTCATTCGACTGAACATGCTTTCAGGACGATTCACAGCCCACTGCAGCTCCTGCTCCAATTCAGCACGACTGGCGGCAAAGAAAGTGTCCCAAGCAGGTACGCTCGCTTGAGCATCCTCCGTCCAAGCTCCCCAGCAGGTTGGCAAGCGAAACATGCTGGCGAAGTAGGAAAGCGGTGACTTGAACGCCTTTGTTTTGTACCTATGGCGAAGAACCGACCAACGGCGCTTGCGCTCGACAGGCCACCCCACCATGCGAGGACTCAACACTACTGATTCTATAAAATACAATTGTCCAAGTACAGCTTGTAATTGCTCAACTGGGAACTGCTGCACGTTCTCCTGTATGATCACTTCTTCTTGGGCCTCGAGACGTTGTCCCGCCCAGGTTAGGAAGGCGGCGTAAGTTTTGCCGCCTTCAGCTTCCCTCAAACCCTTTGGGCTGTATTCCGTGCATGGCGTCCCAGCGCAATGGATATCACTGTTGGTTGCCTTGCATCGTCGGCCATGCACCAGGCATGGAGCGTCTGGTCGCACAGCTTTGCCAGATTTGATGAGCGGTATCAGAACTTCCTGCAGCACTCCTCTTTCTGCCAGAGCAGGCAGCCTCGCACGTAGTTCCGGTTCAAGGAAATCCAACATATTGCTGAATATGCAGGAGGGCTTGTGCGGATGCAGAGCTAGTTCCTCCTGCGATTTGGAGTAAAACTCGATCGCGAAGGTGTGTTCTGCTTGTGGCAGATCACTGACATCCGTGCAAGGAATCTGCAATGCCTCACACACGCCCCATCCTAAGCACAGTAAGCTGGTCCCTGGAGAATCCACTCCAGAGAAAGCAGTTGAGATTGTACGCGTCTCAAGCTGGTGCCTCACATCTCCAAGTGTTTCGCGGAAGCACAGGTCACTCTCGCTGTTGCCCGTGTTTGCCTTCTGCAGGAACTCTGCGCTGAGCCCTTGAAAGTCCAAGGAGCCGATCGCAACTTCTCTGGCGACTCCCCTCATCGCTTCATGATGTGTCTGGCCTGTTTGTGCAGTGATGTTTGTACCTGCTGACGTCTTGCCTTGCAGCAATGCCTTTTGCTTGAAAACCATTCGGGAGAATGTCTCCAAAACCACTTGGCCCCAACGGAACATGCGCTGCAGTACATTCTCCCTGTCCCATTCCTTGTTGTTGTGGCGCTGCGCTGGCGAAGCTGCTGCGCTGCCTTGATCATCTTGGTCCTTCCAGGTGCATATGTTGCCTAGAAGCATGTCTTGCCCTGCGATATTTATGTTAAATGTGTGCTACATCATTTAGTCGGCTAGCAGTCCTGACCAACTTCATCAGTCTTGCGTGCTGGATGCTTATCTGGCACACCGTCTGTCTCTGTGTTTCCAGATGTTGTCAGACATGTTGCCTGCTCAATCTCGGCAACACCAGGATTGCTGTCACAAGCCTGCTCATCACGGCTCATCGCATCACAACCTTTCAGCTGCAATGCTGCATCAGCTGGCTTGTGCTGCTCACCTTCCGCTTCAGGCACTGGCTGGCAGCCTTCCAGTTTAGGCTTCTTTACAGCCGTCTCCAAGGATGCATCTGGCTGAACTAGTTGCAGCGCCTGACCCTGGCCACCACAGGTACTATCTGGATCAGAAACACTCTTCACAAGAAGTCGCTCAACGCTGTTTCCAACCTTGTCCGGGCTCTTCTTGTTTCGGAGTCTAACTGGAGTTTGACGCTTGGGCTGGGATTTGGCCTTGCTTTTGACAGCTGTTGCTTTTGCCTTTGCAGCGGAAGCCTTTGGCTTCCCCCTTGCCATTGTTTTCGGGCTCGCCGCAGGTCTAGGCATAACTGCTACTAGATTCGCCCTACACACATCTTTTCATGCTGGGAAACTACCAGACCATGCGTCTCCATTTTTCAATGTGGTTGAAATCTGGTGTGGCCATGACTTGTTCTCTCTGCATACATGATCATTCAAGCCAACGCCAAACTGCAAGTGCACACACTGGAGTCAAGCAAAGGCTACAAGCTGCAAGCGTCAGAAATTTCGTAAGGAAGCATGTGCAACCAAGGTGCACTCGCTCAGAGCGACATCGAAAGATAGCATCTGACCTTCGCTTGCAGCAAGCAAGCAGAAATGAATGAAGCAGGTGCTATAAAATGCTTGACACTATAAACCTTCATTGAAAAACATGCGGCGCCGAGACACAATCATCCGTATAGCGGCGTCAAAAGACGCCTTTCGACCCTAGCTTGATGCATATGCAAACAGAGATCAATGCTTCAGGCTAACCAACAGTATGTGGGTAAGCATGTGTAACCAAGGAGCAGCCACTGAATGTCATCCCAAAATAAGATATCACCTTGGCTGGCACGTTTATGAGTCTATTCATATCTCGGGCTCACGGATCGGAAAGGTGAACGCACCTCAAGGCCGTG